ATTGAAGGCATGGAGTGTAGTGTAAAACAAATGACAGTTTCCGTTTGAGAGTCTTTTTTTTTCTTTTCTTTTTAAAAATTCTTTTTTTTTGGGAGTGGGCAGTTCCATTCCTTGATTTTCGTGTTGGTCTCATATTTTGATATTGTTTTAGCTCTAAATTGAAATTACTCAATAAGACTCAAAGGAAAAAGATGGTACAAGTCCATGATGTTTCTGTTCTTCTTGACTGTTTACCTCAGGACGCAGCACTTATATGACCTATCTAATTGTGTTGCAAGTGCCTTAAAACTTACTCGAACAATTATCATAGGTCCAGTCTGACAACTGTTCCGCTTTATTGTCTTTTGTTTTACAATAATCCTCAGCCCTTACCCAAACCTAAACCCAAACCATAACCTGTCTTTGGGCTGGGGTTAGTTAGTAGACAAGTAGTCTGCCATGAGGAACAATTGCCAGAAACACGGCGGTAGACCTTCAAGTGGACTAGCTGGCACCGAGTGGGTGATATCACCCAAAATGTAAACCGGAAGGAAACCCGACTCAACGGCTGACATCCGATTACAACAACACAATTACATGTTGTTTTTTTAGGGCACGGGTGATATCTTGGCTGAGAAGGAGGACGGTATCAAACCAGAGTTGAGTGGGGGGTTTTTCTGTTGTTGTTTTTTCTTTAAAAAAATAATTTCTTTTTTAAAATGTCGGAAGTTGATTCCCGGACAATGTGGTTTTTCTCCGTTTCGCTTCCTTATTGGCACTTGTTAGCCACAAGAGGGATGCAGGTAATTTTCTTTTTCTTTTCGGTCATGACGTAACGAACGGTTACCAATTGGTTCTGTCTATCTCAGTCGTGTTGATGCACTTCTTTGTCAAATAGAAAATAAACATGACAAATAATTTTGACATTTTGCCTAACAATGTTAAAGGGGCCGGGATTTCTGTGCGTGTTGTGCCGATACATTCAGTTAAACAGACAGGCAAGTCATCCTTTTAGGTGGTCTGTTAATTGTCGTAATTGTTTCCAATTTGCTTCTGCCATTAATTACGCAAACGTGATTATATACTTCTATTACGTTATACCCCGGAGTTCTCAAATAATAACGATTTGTGTATTGGTTCGAGGCTGGGTTTTTTTTTTAAAGTGTAGGTGTTTACGTCCCCATCGACACTCTGCGAAGTGTTGAAAGGGATGGTCGAGATGAACTAAAGTGTCCAGTGAGTTGCGTGTACGCACATCGAAAGCCAGACGTGTGGCGAAAGTTACATGCAGTGAAAGTTGCGTGCAGGTGTTGCGTAGGTGTTGAGGAAGTTTATTGTCCTAGCAGGTGGGCAGGCCGTGCACACGCAGTGGTAAAACAAGGGGCTCGGGGATATTTTTTTGAAAAATTAAAGGTGAAAGGGGGAGGTGGTTGCATGATGTTTCACTGACCTTTTGAGACTAATGAACTTCTGTGACGTCAAGATGTGTAACCAGGTGCTTCTCCAGACTGATGACCCACACTTTCTACAGGTTTTTAAAAAAATTATTATTTTTTAAAGTTTTTAATTTGTAGATTGGCATTTTGCTACTTTGATCTTTAGCAGGCACTAGTTGAGAGACGCATGATGTTCTATTTATTATTTTCCCCACGAATTTCATGAAAAAAGACTACAAAACAACCCCCCCCCCTAAAATAAGAAAAAAATTAATGAAAACCTCTAAACAAACAAAACAAAACAACATAAAAAAACAACCCAACAAAATCAAAACTATTTTTTTAATGTTTTCTTTTTTTCGGGGAGGGGAGTTAGCATTCAGAGTTGTTGTTTAAAAAAAAATAATTTCGTAAT